CTTACCCTTACCTAACCTTGTTCAAGTTCAACAAATAAACAGTGATAAAGCTGTAAACATGTGTTATCATTGAACCTGTCTACATTTCTGGTGAAGCAGCACAACTTGTAGTTAAGTTAGGTCACAGTGCCTCAGTCTATGATGTGGCCTTAGAAAGATTGGATAGAAAGTATGGCGGCAAACGACGTCAGATAGCACTGAAACTGGAAGAAATTTATAATTTCAGGCCAATAAGACCAGGGAGTGCTAAAGATTTAGGCAATTTCGCTGACATGCTTGATGTAGCTGTGGTCAGTTTGAGGGAATCTGATAAGATCGAGTAGCTGGGGAGTGGGTGTTTGTATTCACTACTGGTTAAAAAAATGAATGAGGCTATGATAACGCAGTTTCACAGATGGATGTTGAGACACTTGGGTACTGCAAGAGGCAGAGTTCCAGACAATAGCTTCAGAGGTAAAACATGGATTAGTTAACAAATCAAAGACAACAGATAAAAGAGAGATACAAGAAAGGAACATTCGCAAGCACACATAACAGAGATAAGGCAAGACAATGTCATGTTTGTCATGAAACAGATCATGACACTTGGGACTGTGCACAGTACAAATCTCTTGGTCTACCTGAACGGTGCGATAAGGTAAAACAGTTAGGTTAATGCTTTCGCTGCCTTGACATCGGTCATCGGGGTAAATCATGCAGTAGAATTGTGAAATGTGGGCTTGATGGCTGTAAGGCAAATCATAACAGGTAACTTCATGACAACAGTAAAGTGGCCAGGAACAATACGGCTGACAGTTGTACTTCAGAGGTTAATGATACAACCACAAGAAAGTCTCACGAAAGTAGATCAGAGACAATCACCCTTTGTCAACTTCTAAAAAGGAATCACATTATCTTGCTCTTAGGACAATTCCTGTCGTTCTTAAGAATGGTAGTCGCAGAATGACTGAACGCATTCCTCGATAATGCTAGTACACATACTTACATCAATGATGTAGCATATGAACTCTGTTGTGCCTGGTAATACACAAGTGTCGTTCAATGTCCTGAATAATTAACAGGGGACCTTTGACAGTATGCTAATGCTGGCCTAGAGAGTATTTAGTAGTTTCATTCCAACTTCATTTTCTTCATTTAGAATCACTTAAGAGAATCATGTTTAGTTCCTTGTAAATCATCCATAGCTTTCTCACTGATAATAGTTGTCATGTTTAGTTCCTTGTTTAGGCCAAAGGTAAGTTGGAAGAACTCCCTACCGAGGAGGTGTGATGAACCTGTTGAGCCCAGATGATTGATGTACCATAAGTCGAGTTGTCTGACTGTATGAGCAGATTGGACGACTGAAGGTCCTGGGCCCAATGCGTTATGGCTAGAATGACTGCCTTGAACTCCAGTACTTTTATGTGAAGAGACCACAGCCCTGCCACTTAATGATCGTGAAGATGAGCTCCCCATTCTCGGAGCTACTTATGTACAAATAGGTCATGAGTTGGGTTGAACGGTCTCAAACAAACTCCTACGCAAACATTCGATTCGTCGAGCCACCATCAAAGGTATGGATGGAGTGACGAAGGTAGATGGATCTGCGCATAGGGATTATCGATCTTCAGAGGACAAGAAAGATCGGCGAGTAGAAACCTGTGGTGTCAGGTGCCAGCTTCTCCAACAATGTACCTTGAGTGGTTTGAATAGCTGATACATGTGCCGCAGGGTAGGTTCGACGAACTGGATCGATGGTCATGTGCAAAGGTCCTATAACCGGGTAGCTTGTGACGCCGAACATTTGAGGTCTTCACAGATCGCTGATCAGGTCCCTGTTCAGATCGTAGCATCTGCCTTTGGGGCTTGGTGTCCTGGGAAGGATCCCATGACACAGGAAAAGTTGAATTTGACGAACTGGTAGTCTGAGACGCAGGTAGTCTGTCCCTCAAATCCGTAGCACTGAATGGATACACCAAATCTGAAAGGATCACCGAACTTGAGGGGGTCGATGAAACTGACCTAACGGTCAGTTCAGGAGAGACAACAGAGGCACTGAGTCAATCACATACATTAGACGAAGGTCTGAGGACAGAAGGTTCACCGATGAAGGATCATATGATCTGGATACAGACGGAGATGAAAGTCACCATGAAAGCAGGCTGGTCTGGAGCGTTCACCGGAGATGGGATCGTCGAATGTAAGGCTGAGAGATGTCCGGCAGAATTGCTGAAGAGATTGCCACATCAGAAGGGTTCGTTGAAGGTTCCTGCTGGTTCGGCAAACGTTGTATGACCACCACTCACGACGCAACAGCTGGTATAGTGTTCTGCAGTGTGCCTGAGTTCGCGGAGTGAAACAGACGTCTCAGATTTTTGCTGAGGTAGGTGTCTGAAGATGCCTCCAGAAAGTCTTCCTGCTCCACGGGCAATGGTGTAAATTTACATGCCTTCTTCACAGGTCTGTCCTTTTTTTATGTTTCTTCTTTAGATCTAAGCCTTGAGTCCCACCTTCCTATATTCAGCAAACTTATCATCATTCAGACCCCGGCAAAGGCTGCATCTTGAGTCCAAGACACACAACCTAATGCAGTCAATACACGCAGAATGAGGGTCAGATGAACAAAAAGTCTTCTTGCACTGCTGGCATAAGTTTTGCTTCCACGAAGAAAAATCTTCTTTGCCCATGGTGATACAGTCATCACTCGCTATAACGCTGGTCTTAGGGTCCATGCATGACCCCCAGCGTCAATAGACACCCGCGTTATAGTAACTTATACATGTACCTAACACGGAATAAAGGCCAAGTAAAATCAAAATAATTTATATCTCAAGCAGTTATTTTAACAGAGATACTATATATGGCTATCGCATTAGTATAATGCATGTTTTCTGCAAACATATTTAACGTAATAATTAACATAGGCTGGGGGTCCTTGGATGACAAAGTGGTAATCAGTTTGTGATTGCTGAGAATAATGTGAAAATGATGCTGTCATGATAGGAACAAAAAGCGGACCCTCACGAATATGGTAAGTGGAAGTTGTATGAGTATAGAATGAGGTAATGCCATTTCACACACGCTTTTCTCCGTTGTTACTGTAAATAGTTTTAATGAATGAAAATGGGATTGAATTTAATCAAATAAAATGAAATCGAAAGTAATATCGCTTTTATGTGTTTTCAGATGGCAGTGTTTATCCGCAGCTATAACGGTGTGTTGCATCACACACAGCAAATATCATAAGTTCTCGGCTGATGGCATGTCTTTATGATAAAGTTGTCTTTTATAAGTTATTGCGATGTTCCACTGTTCGTCTGATTATTTAAGAAAATCCTGAATGTTTTAAGCATCTGAAAAACACGGATATGTACGATGAACACTGGTCATTGCAATCCGCACTGAATTTCGCTAGTTTACAACATGATTAACCTGAGCTCAACAGTGAATTTGTTGATGTGCTATTTGCAATGATGTGAAAGAGGATGTGTGATCACTGGGCAACTTTCTTAATGAGAGCCATGGCTTACCCCACAGTTTTACCGAATCTGCAGTATTGCGGAGAGCGTTGCAAGGTATTGCGAGGGATGACTGTACTTGGGATTCAAAGTGAATAGCTTCAAATTACACCACGCCTGCACTGCAGTGCGACAAGAAAGAGACTTCTTTTACAGTTCGTTTCCACCTAGCTGTCGATCTTTAGAGAGTCAGCTCTCGCTAAACTGTTCATATCTAGCATGTACATTTCAACATCTTAATAAACAGCTTTTAATGAAATATACTTAACAAACAAGAAAACTGGGTTCTGAAAACTGTTTTCACACAGCAAAATGACCCAAATTACTAATGGCCTATTTATATGGGTGTGAATGTGGATCAATGCAAAATTACGTGCATCAGATATCATATGCAAAGTTTGCCGAAAATGGACAGGTGTACCAGAGAATTGAAAAATCACCAAAGTAAATGTAAATAGTTTCATTACAAGCATGAAGTCTGTTTCACTGATTTTGTGGTTTTGTGTGATATAATTTGTCTATAGATAAGAAGATATTTTTGAGAGAGTTAGAAGCATGGTCATGCTTGCAAAGCTCAAATTAAAAACATCGCAGAAACAGGTTCCACACCAGCTTAGCCAGCTATCATACAGGGCTTCATGTAACTACTGACAGATTAATTACCCTTATCCTTGGAGAACAACCTCCACCATTAAACATATGTGATGAATGGATGAATAAGTTGAATTTGAATTTGAATTTGAAGTTACATCAGCAATGTTTCCACAATATCCTGACTTAATGCTTAAGCAAAATAATTGTATTTATACCATGATTTATACCATTTTAAAAAAGAGTTGGGGATATTCCATTTTTGGGTGATTTTGTTTGTGAACCAAGTTGTATGATTGTATAGCGATTTAGAAATGATGATTCCATTCACAACATATTATGAATTTTGTGCAAGTCTTTTTTAGGTATCAGTGTGTTGCTGTATATTTCAGTATTAAAAGCCAGACTGAAATTTGTTCTGATATTGTTTTAAACTCAATTAAACATTCTTTCACATGCGACATCATAGCAATTACTACACGCCAGATCAGGTTGGAACATGACAGAACATGGTGGCACAGTCAGTAAAATAGCAGACTACAATCACAATATCAACAGACAAATAACATAGATAACAGATGTCAATCTGGTTGAGCAATGGCAACAACTGGTAAATAAGTAGTCCTGGCATCCTGGCAAGATTCTGACATACCCCACCACAAATTGCAACAGAAATGGTTTCAACTGTTTTAAGATCCTGAGCCATTCCTTTATAACATAAAAAGTCTAGGAAAATATCAGTGGTGGAACAAGGTCAAATTTGACCCTCAAGGTCATAGGGGGCATCTTCGCTTTCGAAATCTTAGATGGAAATGCAAACTTTTTTGTGTGTTGGGGGATAACTAATATAAGTGGAATATTGTATGTACAATTCTATTTTTAACAAATGAAAGGTATGCAAAACATACGTACTGTTCCCACTGCGCCAGAATGTCACTCACATATTCATATCTCCTTACAAATCTTTCAGTATCTCCAGTGACCTGCAATATAGGATATACATGTATAAATATACACTATAAATATATATAACAACACCAAATCAATCTATATTGCCCACAGCTGAACTTATGTTTGAAGGGTGTCAAATTCAAGATAGCAACCTGCAGAGGACATCTCGCATAAATTCAAAAGCAACATCCCAACATAAAATGTGTATCAGTTTTTGTTTTGGTGTGGTGTTTTTTCTATTGTTGTTTATTTTAGTCTAAAACACAACCATTAGTCTAATAGAAATATTAACATGTATATCACATTCCTTGAGTGAGCGAGTTTACTCATGCTTTGTGGGATCCCCTTGTTCGATAGAAAATCGCTGCTTACTTTGCTCGGCCTTAGCTAAGAATGAATGGATTAATATGGATAAAGCCTGTAATCATGCTAGGAAGAAGAAATGTATCGGTCTCATCAGATTCTACTGAGAGTAAGAAATCTGCCTCTCAACCCTCAACTACTTCTGTATCCAAAATCTAAATCTAAATCAAGAGTTCATCTAGCCATGTTGATATGTCAGTTATTACGGCCCTTTTGTCAAATCAGAGATAGAAGTGTCCATGTGGTAGTCATTTCAAGATTTTGAATTACGTAATGAGGAGAAAATCTCAGATCAACAGAGGCAAATAGATTTCTCGGGCTCAAAAGGCACCTTCCTTCCACGTAGGGTGGCGAGGTGCTCTACTCAGTTCGGTCCAGTATCACCACTGTCCTGAAGCTGGGTCGCCGATCCCCATGGCAGAAGACGCTAAGGTTTCGAGCGGAAGGGACATGGTCCCGGGCAGTCAACCCTTAGGGGTTATACCCAAGCCAGTCTGCCTGCCGAGCTGGCTATCGTTTCATGCTCGGGTGGTTCAGAGTCGCTATACAACTTGGGCAGGAATCCGTTAACCAGGCTGGAGCGGCCGGCATGGGTCCTTATCAGCCGTTAATTGACAGAGGCTTCACAGCTGAATCTAAGCAGAGGGTGGCTTGCCCTACGGGGAGTGCAGCTGAAGGTGCACAGGCTTCTACGGTTATAACTACGGCTAGTCAGGAGCTGATCGATACGGACAATCCTCCAGTTATTCTGTTATTGGTCATGAAGGAGGGTTTTATTACCGTTCCATCCATGGATACCGCCGCGGAGTATCATGCCCCTGGGTGGTCGTTGAAGGAGAAAATGGAACTTTTACATGGACTTTATCCCAATACTTTACCTCCACCTACCGAGAATACGGAACAGCATATGCTATCCATAGTTGTGCTCTATCAGCTAACCTGCCACACTAGACAAGGACTTTAGTCTATTGGAAGCCAGGAATCAGAGAGACAGTGCCTTGCCATGCCCTCCTAGAGAATTTAAAGAACTGGATGTAGCTGCCCGATCCTCCATTGACAGCCTGTTGTACATAAATTGGTTTGCGACGGGTGTCCGTGATCTGCTTCCTCCGGTGCACGAGATTGCATTGGCCAATTCCTTCCTAGATGTGTTGTATCATGCTGTATCAGATGCTACTCAGAATCAAGTATATTCCCTGGGCAGGCTTATAGCTATGGATAGGATACACAAATTAAAGGCCAGGGCGCAAACATCCAAAACCCTGTGGGTTTCCAAATAGTCTCCCATTTGCTACTCCTCAGCAGTGAAGATGTTATCAGCCCGTGAGTGACAAGACTCTAACGGCTATGGGTGCCTGGCAAGAGCCTTTGATGTCAAAGGTTAAGCTTGGAGTTTACTACTAGAATAAACATGTGCCTTATAGTAAATGTCCAACAACCCTTTCACCACATATTTTGATGACTAAAGAGATTAATTAGATTAGCATATATTATGAAACATCAAATTTTACTTATATTCTGAATATACAATCTTCAGCAAAGAGATGTCAGCAACAGATAAGTGTACAACTCAAGCCCTGCACACCATGGTGTCAGGGGGCGTGGGGGAAGATGGCAATTTCCCAGTCTGCCTGAAATATGAAACCTCACCTGTACTGACTGACACAGTGGGAAATTCAAATCTGGATTTAAAAATGAGAAATATATTTTCAAAATGTATGTTTTGTAGACTCTCTGCATCCATACTTTTTGCTGTGAGTCTTCATAACATACTTCTTCATACTATGTCTTAATATCAGCCTGAACCGGTGAGTCAGTTTTGTGATATTTCATGGAATTTACTTGAATACTGCATTGCTTTGCATCAAAAGACAGCTTTGACAAGGCAAGGAGGCCACACCCCCTCTGTGTATAGGTTTGAACCCCGGCCTTTAAATTCAGTCAGGAATTTACCGGAATCAACTGATGTTTCAACACTCATTAAATTCTGTGGAGACTTTCAACAGCCAGTGTCAACAGGCGGGGTGCAGGATGCTATCACAACCAGGAATTTAAATCAACAGCTAGCTTCAGCCCAACTGGCCCAGAATAGGTACAGAGATACTCCTAAGGGTAGGAGAGATGGAATACAATCAACCTCGGGTACCCACTCTCAATCACTGAACTGTCAGCCTCCGATGCAACCCTCGGCTTTTGACAGAGCCATGGATGCTAGGCCGCGTACTTCTACACCATCTAGCCGGTGAGTGAGTGAGTGAGTGAGTTAGTACTGCTTTACGCTGCTTTTAGCGATATTCCAGCAATATCACGGCAGGGGAAACCAGAAATGGGCTTCACACATTGTATCCATATGGGGAATCGAACCTGTGTCTTTGGCATGATGAGCGGATGCCTTAACCACTAGGCTACCCCACCGCCCCTCTCTAGGGGTAGAGGTAGGGGGTTTAGGCCCTTTTGCCCGTCAAGGGCTAGGAAATTCTGACTCCGTTCTAATAGCAAATTCTATGCCTCCTCTTCAGTAGGGGGTTGTCTAGCACTGTATCACAAGAATTGGGAGTTGATCACATACAGCCTTGGGATGTACGACCACCAGTCACTTGCCATCCGAAGGGTCGCAGGTTTTTTATTCAGAGCCATCGTCTAGCAGTGTCCGACAAGGCAATACAGCAATTGTTGGAGAAGGAACCTGTTGTGTTCACGTAACAGTGACTTAATGTGAAAATACACTTTTGTTAATTAATGGTCCCCAGAGCGGATGTAAAGGAACGCTCCCTGTCCCCAAGCATCTTGGGATGGTCTGTAATGGCCGACACGGCATGTTAAAGGTTAATGTGAATAAACCTTATGAATCTTCACCATCTTCAAGTCTGTGAACCCAAAACACCACATAATTGGCGACAAGGGTCTAAAGGACTTATTCAGACATGGCTGCATACGGTAAAATCACTGATTTTAACAGCGATGCTGAATCTTGGGTCGCGTACAGCGAGAGGCTGTCTGCATACTTTGCCGTGAACAAAATCACGGATGGTGATCAGAAGAGGGCTACTCTTATAAGTTTAATCGGATCAAAGACATATGGACTTCTCAGAAGTTTGGTTTCGCCTGATAAACCAACAGATAAGTCTTTTGATGATTTAATCACAGTGCTGGAAAACCATTTTGAACTGAAGCCATCAGCGATAATACAACGCCTCAAATTCAACACGTGCACGAGGCGCTCCGATCAGTCGATAGCTACCTATGTTGCTGAACTTCGCTCTATTGCTGAACACTGTGGCTATGGAACTCAAATTGAAAATATGCTTCGTGACAGATTGGTGTGTGGTGTGTCTGATGATTGCATTCAAAGACGACTTTTGTCCGAGCCTGATCTGAATTACAAGAAAGCGCTGGAACTAGTTCAGGGCATCGAATCTGCCTCTCGGAACATCTTCGACATTCAACAGACTTCACGGATACAAAAAGGGGAAAATGTACATCATGTGTCAAACAGTTTTCAGGGACGCAGGAAACCTCAGAACTTTCAGAAATTTCCCAAAGGAGGGAAAGTATGTCCACAAAAATCAGAGACTAGTAGTGCCAGCAATGACAACAAAACAGGTAATAAACCATGCTACAGATGTGGCAGTAGTGAGCATGTACCAGAGAAGTGTAAGTTTCGTGATGAAACTTGTAGATATTGTCACTTGAAAGGACATATTCTCAAAATGTGTCGCAGACGAAATCGTTCTAGACATCTGACTAACATTGTTGATGAAGATTCCATTGACTTTTGCACAACAGAATATGAACTTTATCATGCTGGTGAGCATGACACATCTGTCCCACCATATTGTGTCAGTGTAGAAATAAATAATGCATCAGTACAACTGCAGATTAATACGGGCGCAACTTTCACCCTTATCACTAAGTCAACGTACGACAAGACTTGGTCATCCAACCCTCCAGTCATTAAGGAGACTTCACGGGTCCTTCGATCGTACACAGGAGAGAAGTTGAAGATGGTTGGTATCATTGATGTGGATATAAGATACAATGATCAATCCGTACAATCATCCGTTCTTATTGTGGACGAAAAAAGACCAAGTTTACTCGGAAGAGACCTCCTCAACCAACTAAAACTCGATTGGAACGACATTGTAAACCAAGTCTCTATGTTGGATCAATATCCAATTCCGAAAATAGAAGATCTCTTTGCGGAAATTTCAGAGGGCAAGACGTTCACGAAGATTGACCTTGCCAGCGCATATCTTCCGCTTCCGCTAGATGAAACATCAAAACAGTATACCACTATTAACACTCACCGTGGACTATTCTGGTATAACAGACTACCGTTTGGCATCTCTTCTTCACCTGGCATATTCCAGAGATATGTCGACAACCTTTTGAAAGGTGCTCCCATGTCATGTGGTTACCAGGATGACATTATCATATCAGGGAAAGATGACCCTGACATGTGCAGAACGTCGATACAGTTCTAGGAAAACTGTCAGCTGCAGGAATTCACGCTAACAAGGAAAAGTGTGTTTGCCAAGCCAACGAAGTGACCTACTTGGGTCATCGAATTAGTGCAGAGGGGCTCCACCCAGTACTCAGCAAAGTTGAGGCTATATATTGAGGCACCTTCTCCGACAAATGTGTCCGAACTTAAGTCCTACCTCGGGCT